GATATGTGGGAAAAATGTTTTCTCCCAGTTTGTGGCGTGTTTTTCATTCCCTTGAGAACGTCCTCTGAACAGCAGAAGATCTTAATTTTGGTAAAATTTACTTTCTTTTTCTTCTTTGAATCATGCTTTTGGTGTAGAAATTTTTGCCTAAATCAAGGTTACAAAGGTTTTCTTCTAATAGTTTTATAGTTTCGAGTACATATGATCTGGTTTGAGTTAATATTTCTATGTGATGAGAGGTGGATTTTTTTGAGGGGGGGATTGTCTTTTGCATAAACCTATCTAGTTGATTTAGCAGCATTTGTTTTGAAGACTCCTTTCTCTAAAGAATTCCCTTTGCACCTTGGTTGAAAATCAATTGGCAGTATATGTGAAGCTCTAGTTTTGGACTCTGTTCTATTAATCCATTTTTATATCATTCTGCCAATACTACATTTGATAATAAATCTTGATAGCTTTATAATAAATATTAAAGTCAGGTAGTGTAAGTCCTCCAACTTTGTTCTTCTTTTTCAAAGTCATTTTGGATGTTTCTGAGTCCTTTGCCACTCCATATGAATTTGAGAATTAGCTTGTCACCTTCTACAAAAAAAAAAAACAATCCTGTTGATATTTTTATTGGGATTGTGTTGAATCATCAGTTCAATTTGGGGTGAATCGACATTTTAGCAGTATTAAGTCTTCCAATCCATTAATACAAGTATACATTTTTATTTATTTAGATATTGTTGGGACATAGGGGTCTGTCCTGTTTCTTCATGTATTATGAGCAGACGACCTGACGTGCTTTGTTTGGCTGTCTTTTTGTGGTTGTGTGTTTTGTGAACATCTTTAGAAGATAGAGATACCATCTCCCTCCAGAGCAAAGGGTGGGTTTGTTTATACCCCTGTAATAAAGATAATGTTTTCCTCTAGGGCAAAGGTTAGGCAGACTACCTGCTATAAAAGATGTGGGTTCCCTAAGCTTGGGGTTCCTCTCATATGACACAGCCTGTGGCATGTGTGTGGCCCTGTGGATTTGAGTCTTCAGCCAGCATATGCTGATACTCTGGCTATGGCTATTGCTGTAACGAAGTTCTTTGTCTTGCACTCAAGCGTCTGTGTTTCTGCTAGCGTCCATGAAACTATAGCATGCTGACTTGTTAGCTTGTGAGTCGGGTAAAGCCCTAGACCTTCCACAGTTTGAGGGAAGGTTAAGGAGCTACGTGTGTGCTCCACAATAACGCTTGCCCACCAGGGGTTGCATACTTGACCAAACAGCTTTGTTTTCTCTACAGAATCATAGAATCACAGATGGTTCCTGGACCTGACCTATAAGGTAACTCATAGACTTGTTGTTACGGGCCAAGTACAAGGAGACATTTCAGGGGGAGAGTGGTGTGAGGGAGAGAATAATTAA